TACATACACTGTATACTGTATGCTGTATACTTACCTACCTACCCACCTACCCATCCATCCATCCTAAGGTTACAATTTAAACGTGACAGAACATAAAAGCGCTTATCAAAAGTAAGCGCATTTTACAAAATGTTAARAAATAGTTTTTCAATTAAAATGAGTAATAGAATAACAAAATAATAAGGTAAATTTGTACAAAGGGTTTTATTTTTCTTACTCTGACTAAACACGGTGCTGTTAGCTAACCGCTAACAGCTTTAGCTTGTCCCTTCAAAACATGAAAGTACCCCTGGTTACAGCACASCTACAAACTATTCAAACTGTGAGTTTAAAAGAAAAGATAAAGCTACGCAAACGTGAAGTTAATTACCTGAGCAGATCTGGAAAAATTCGACATTTTAAACACACTGCAAACACATCTGATCTTTCAAAAATGCCTGACCCCTAACGTGAGGTACGGTCCGTCTAATAATGTCACTCGGTTGAAACATAATTTGAGGCTACGTAGTTCCGASAGAATTTACTAATCTGTATTTCCCTTCAAAAGCTTGATGCACAGAATTATATATTTTGTTGAAGATGTGTTTGTTTACAGGGAAAATCTGTAACAAACTTAAGGYTTTTTAATTTATTTATTTAATGCAGAACAACAGAATCTCGGGGGTGTGTTTTGACGTCGCGCCTCTCTCTCTTACCTCACTTCCTTTCCGCGACAAAAGCGAGGGCGCGCGGAATTTTGATAGAGGAAMAGCAATCATTAGTTTTGCTTAACTTTAGCTTGTTTGTGTTTATTTTAAAGCACTTTACCGAATATGAGGACGTTAGAGGAGGTGCAGGCCACGCTGGAAATCGCCAAGCTAAAAGAGGAAGACTTAAACCCAACAATCCACTGCTTGTCGTTCGGTGAGAACGTCTCATCTGCAGATTACTGTCTGATGGAACTGGACGACACACTCTGCAGACACATCGAAGCTGGCGACAGGTGAGCAGCCATTACTGGTAAATGTCCCTAATACCAGGATATGTGTATGATGAACAGTCTGACACTGATTAATGTGTCCTGTTATTGTTTTCTTTATAAAAATCATGTGTCATGACTTATTAATATAAGCCATCAAAATGTCTGGTTTATCCTACATCTAAACTCTAAGATCATGTTTAGATCACACGGATGTAAAATAAATATAAATACAATAAAATGAATATGAATGTTGTATTTGTTCTCTTAGGATGAAAGTTTCATATTTTTACATGCTTTTATTTTGAAATTGTGTCCAGATCATCATGGCTCACAATGGTAATATTTGCTTCCATGTTCAAAAGTTGATAAAAGGTGATGTCAGCTAAAAAGTCTGAAATTCTGACAGAAGTCTCTTGTGCTTCCTCAGCCTTGTAATCCGGGGGGATAAAGATGAGCGTGCAGTGCTTTGCAGCAGAAACMAAACCTACGATCTGAAAATAGCCGACACCTCTAACCTGCTGCTGTTCGTACCTGGATGTAAAACACCTGACCAGCTGACCGAGCACCAGGACGGGCCTCGCGTGGAGCACGCTCAGGTACGGAAAACAAACGCACGTTTACCTCTCAGACCTCGACGAGTGACGGACGCCGTAACRCTTTCATGCAGACGCACATAAACTGATCAGGTGATGGTGTTTCTGTCAGATCTGGGGGTTTTGCAACAGCTACTGGGAGCTGAGAAAACAGCGGCCAAAACTGAAGAAGCTGAAGAAGCTTTTGATGGAAAATCCATACGAAGGTCCTCTATTAGCGGGGCAAGAGGAGGTCACAGAGAACAGGGTGAGAAATCTATCAGGTCTTTTTTTTAAACAGTTTTGAGTTTATTCTTTTTTTAAACATGCTTGTAGTTATAAAAACACTAAAACAATTTGATGTGTTGGCAGTACACGATGCAGGATCTACTGGAGAGAATCCAGGCCAGTGAGGTGGAAATAAAGGACCACTTGGTGACCATCCACGCCTGTCAGATAGATGGTAATGTCATTAGACTTCCTGCAGAGGCACGTTTCAGCAGTTAGAGTTTATTGTCTCGCCGARGGTTATCACAGCAGCATCAGTACAGAGGTTCACACACTAKTTTACAAACTATAGACAATGCACAAAAAACAAAATTACCACTAACTAGCAATGATACTACTACTAACAGTTAAAATTTAAAGGGATCCCCGATTAGTTGTAACACTAGACTTTATTTGATAAACATATA